TTTCACACAACCCATTAAAAGTTAATAAGGTGAACTGATGAAGTTAATATGGTGGAGACGCGCGGTGCCATTCGTCTGGCGTCCTCCCCTGCGTGACTTCTAGTCCAATCCCTCTCTCTTAACGTTCCCGTTGTGTTCCGCTCTTCACCTGCTCCTGAGGGAAATATGCGGCTCCTCGGCTGCTAAACGCTCTATTAGATTCTCCAGCTAGATGCTAAATTTGTCCCCTGCCACACGTGGTGTGACGTAGGTTGTGTACAGTTGAGTTTTCATTGTAAAATACAGCCTGAGGTGAACTAGAAGAGATTAAAGCACTCAGTTTAGGAGACGTTGGACGTTTATTTACTGATTTATTTTTTTTCATTCTTCAGATTGAAGGCCTTTCGTGCCGTACTGGTAATGATAAATACTAATGAGAATGAGCAAAGCTTTAAAGTCCGTGTCACAGAAAATAAATCATCACTTTTTTAATGGCAGGACGAACCGTAAACCTGAGAGACGTGATGAAAAGATGCTTACGAGGCTGAATATTGTTACGGCGGGTCTTTGATCGGATGTTTCCCCGAGTCGAACTCTCACAGTTGGTCCGTTGTCAGGATCATTTGGTGGCGATTGTTATGTCTGTCTCTGAACTTCTAGCAGCCTAGGTTACCACGGGCAGAACAGCAGCAACGGGACACTGCAGTTTTAAAACTTATGTGAGAAATTCTCTGAGATAAAATTTCTCCAAGAGAAACAAACTCCCCAAAAAAAGTTGTGTCCAAATTTAATGATTTAAAAACAAATCAGCTGTCCTTTACCTATGACGAATGTTAAGGACAGTCTGTTCTTAATGCAGTTTTATTTTTATATTTGCTAACTTTGAGCATTTCTTTGCTAATGTTTTAAGAGCAATCACAAACTGTACCTCTCATTACTAAGAGTGCTTTTCAAGGCCTGGTGATAAAACCTTTTTCTTTTCTCCTTGAAGGAGAAAAATCAGTGCGAAACAAAAAAGCAGAGCCACGTGAACTGATGCAAAAGTAAATATAAATTTAAAGTGAGACATAATACAGTGTCATGGGTTTACTGATGCACTGTCCGTCTTCAGTATCAACAGAAGCAGCCGGTGACCTTCAGGTACTTCAACAGTTCACCACTAAAGAGTTCTAACAAGACTGAGATCAATCAGAGCCCTGCAGCTGCAGCTGATGTAATATCAAGGCAAACAAACATCAACTCACACAGTGCCACACCAAGACAAGCACAACAACAACAACAACAACAACAACAACCATGCACATGCTCAGAGCTGTGTTTGCAGTTCCTAAAAAAGTCAACCAACAAAAACTGGAAACTCCTGTGAAAGTTATTGTCGATATTATGCTAATGTTTTTAAATGACGTAATTAATCTTCACAGATGATTAACAGGACGCTCCACCATTCAATCAAATCGTCGTTGTGAAGCAGTAGTGATTAAACACGGTATGTATCCCTGCAGATGGCATGGCTTAAAGCATTACGCCATATATTTGAGCCACAAAACTACATTAACTTCTTGCTGATTTCTGATACACCAACATTGTCCAAACACTTAATTACCAATTCCAATATCAACCAATACAGATATATACCCCCACACTAACATTCTGCTACAACCCCCCATTATTAAAATATATGAATAAAATGAGCTGCAATGCTGCCATCTAGTGGCTTTCACCTTCATATACAGCCATTTTTCCCCAAAACTATTTTTAGGATTTTTACAATTTGGCAAAACCCAGACATGGGGTATTGCATTATCGGAGAAAAAAAACAATAACGATTTTTACAGAAATTACATAATTATGCTAATATTGGGGTAATATTTGTTGACATTATCGGACATCCCTAGTCAAAACTTTACATCAACGTCAAAATGTTACGAGAAAAACAATGTTGTAATCTCACCAGAGAAATTATTTTAACTTTTGATCTTAATCTCATAAAATTATGGCTTTTTCTTAATAAACCCTTTTAAAAAATCTTTTTCTCATAATTTTAAGACTTTATTCTCATAAATCTACAACTTTAATCTCGTATTTATTTATTTATTCTCAATGTGGCCCTGATACTCCACCATAAAGAACGGGTCCAGAATTTAAAGAGTAAAAAAAAGAGGTGTAAATCTGTCTGCAGCGTCCTAAAGGCCAGAGCTGGTCACACAGGTGGAACTTTCACCTCTAACTGAGAGGAGTTTTGCAAATGTTTTGAACGATGTCTATTTCCTGTGTTTCAAAGGCTACACGTCAGACGTTGAACAGTCGTCAACCACAACAACAACTGTTTGTCATCAGAGGCGTTTGTTGCTGCTACACTTCCAAAAACTATCATTTTCCTGAGCAGGTTAGAGAAACAAATAAAGAGTAAAGTTGTGCAACATGCTGTTGCAGGAGCCACAAAAACCGAGTGATGCATCAGAGCGGCGTTATCTGCAGTGTCACGCAAACAAACGTCCCCTCCTGGGCTCAATTGATGCTGCGGTGCTGAGACTTCACTACGTAAATAATCGCCTGCAATATTTTTCACGTTGTTTTCCGGCGGCTGAACGGTGACGAACGCTCATTTCACTTCATTCCTGAGGCAGTAGGTGGCTGGCTGATTTATCCGTTAGACAAAAGTGGAGAGAAATGTTCACTAACTCTACCGCCTCCTGCAGCTTTGGGTGATTTTTGGGTTGATTATTCCAGACGGTGACGGCAAAATAACACAGAAAACTACAGAAAAGAAAATCCACAGCACAAAAAAAAGAAAAAGAAAAAAGAACTCCACACGGTTAGGGGAAGAAAATGAAAACATTCGTATGATCACAAACCGTGTCTTTAGAGAGGCCCATTAGGAAGAAATAGGGGGAGCCATGCTTGTCACTTTTCATGCACATGGAGAGACTGGAAGATACCATTCCTATAGAAGGGGAAGTAACAACCTAGACCAATCAATTAGTGATAGATCACTGAAATGGACAGAAGAATAAACTAATGTTAGTCAGGGCAGAGAAGAGACATTAGTTCTTGAAGAGTACAGTAGAACAGTGTTGACATTTTATTATTGGGAAAGACAGTGAAGAGAATTAAAAGTGAGGTAAGAAATGATCTGCAGGATAAAAAACAAAAACACAAACTGGGACTTTAATGGATGGAGATGATTCTTACCATAATCTGGGACCTGCCCTGTTCCCCTCTTCAGCAGCAGACGCACTCGTCTCCCTCCAGACTTGATCAGCTCGATGGCCCTGGCGTGGGTCATGTCCCTCGTTGTCTCGCCATTGATCTCAATGATCTGGTCTCCAACCTGAGTGTGAGAAAGAAAGTTCTTTGTTTGGTCCTCTAACTTCACTGATCACATGATAAACTTCCACTTCTTCAGGGTGTGCCACAGTGAGACGTGTCCACGGTGACACTGGAAAACGTTTCTGTGCTGGACGCCTTTTCTGACACAAGCCACGTCTGGGCTGATAATACATGGCAGTGGAAAGGTCTGCACATACTATAGAACTGTCAAACGTTAGCTAACAGATAATGAGAACTTACACCATAAATAAACCTAAACACATTACCATAAGCATTTCTAAAAGCAGAGCTGAAACTTAGCCAAGTTGAAATTATAGCAAAAATAGCTTAAGACTAAAAGTGAATGTAAAAAAGCCCAACAAAAAATATAATAAACACCTTCTATCAATCATATTAAACTAAATTGTCAATGGAAAAGTTAATGAAGAGAACCCAGTACTGAAAACATAGAGAGTTCCTTTAAATTTTAGTCCAACTTGTTTGTATGCGTTGCCTCGTGAGAAACCAAGAACGAGCGGCAGAATCAATAAAGTAATTATATAATTTATTTGGTTTCTTCATCAACCTCTGGCTGCACGACACCAGGGGGCACAGGTGAGACCAACGAGTTAATGAAGCCGTTTGAAAACCTCAGACTGAGTCAATTATTTCGTGGCTGTTTTTTTTGGTTATTGCATAAGAGTGTGACACGGGGAAGAAAACAACACTGAACAGACTCTGTGTCGTTCATGAGAATCAGGGAACGTGGACCGTCGTCAGCTCTGATGAAGTTCTGAAGTGGTCACATGGTGTCTTTAGAGAAACACGTTGACAACGACCTGTGGTGTGAACTGATGTTACTGAGGGAAAATGATTATGTCTTGGTTTCATAACATTCTCATAGAAATCTGAATTTAAAGGAACAGGTGGTATTTTAACATTTTAACTATTTTACTCAAGGTCTTCTCATACTGAGACAATAACTTACATTTTGTTTTTATTTGAACCGTTTCTATAACAACTACACTTTCAATATTTTTTTTTATCCATAGGCTATTTTGTTATGTCTTTGCTAGCTTCAGGCACTCTGGTTAAAAAATACACCTTGCTGTGATTATTTTTCAATTTAAGTTTTCTTTAATTATTCGATCTCAACGTTCGACTAATTTTGTGAAATTCGTTTATTTCTTCTACTGTATCTCTTATTTTGAACTATTTGATGTGATCACAATTCATACTTGGACAATAATAGGGAGTTGTTCCATTCAGTTTTCATAAAAATATGATTTTTTTTGTTTGCTAAAAGGTTCAATAGTTTGTAAAAACTATTCTCTTCGATGAGTCGTCAAGAACAGCTTGAATAGTTTAATAGTTTTAATTTCTGACTCAGAAATCTTTGAAAAAACGTCAAACAGGTTATCATTAAATCCAAGAAGAACATCTGGAGTTCTACTTTCTGCCCCGCTGCAGGAGACGGACATTTGGCCATAAGTGAAATGTCAGAGTGACTGCAGGCAGCTGAAGGAGCAGTGAGCAGTGATCTGTCAAAGATCGCTCAGATCCACACTGACAGACACGACGGTCAAACGGTTCCTAAACAGCGTTCTCTCAGACTCCTCTCTGCAGCCGGCGTGGTCTGAGAAGTTAAACTGTTCTTTGAACCATATTCTTAAAAAATAATTTAATAAGATCCTATTTTGTTCCATCTGCTCTTGACGATGTTGTACAGTCGTCTCTCGCTGTATCACTGTCTGCTAAATATTTTAAATGTATTCTTGTATTGCAGATTTTTTGCTCTATTGCAGGTTTTGGCGGTATATAAAAAATAGAAATTTTAAATAAAATTTTTCTAGCCTAAAAACCAGTAAAAATAGTAAAAAAAGACACTGTGTTACACACACCTACAGGGTATTGCAAATAATAACCCGTTCGTACGAGTAAACTAAAAACTAAAATTAATTTGCAAAATAAAGGGAAGAAAATGTCAAAATCAACGCGGTCCATTTTCCACCACTGTCTGCGCGCAGACATAAAGCTGAAGAGGGATTTCCTCTTCCTCCACCACCTCCTCCTCCTCCTCCTCCTCCTCCCCTGAAACCCCGCAGCTGGTGATCATTGGACTCCATCGACAACAGCACTCAGGTGGAGGAGTAATATCTCCCCCGGGGGCATTTTGCACACATTATCTCGTAGCGCTTCATTACAGATAAGGGATGTAGAGCAGACTGTTGGCCATCGGCCTGAGACGTAAACAATCAGTGAACATAAAAGTGAAGAAATAAAGAGAAAGTAGAAGAAGGACAAGAATGGCTGCGGGATTAAATCAGTGTTGACAAATAGAGAGGAGCAGCCGTGAATACGTAATCTGCAGTGTGTTGTTGGCTGCAGCAGAGCAGCGACCAAATGAAGTGGATTCTCACTGCAGAGCAGGAGGAAGATGAGGAAGAGGAGGAGGAGGAGGAAACCTGGATTTTTGCAGGTGAAAGCAGACTGGGGAAAACCAACCAACCAGGAAACCAATCAGTGTGTCCTGGGGTAAGATGAAAAATATTTAAATGAAATACAATTTTAAGTTACTCTTCAGGTTTTGTGCATATATATTTTTTAAAAAAGTACCAACAGCTTCTAGAATATGGAAAAATAAATACATTAAAATAAAATATAGAACAGTGATGAACTGTACACTGTATAATATAGAAATGGAACAATAAAGCTGCAGTGTGGTTGAAATGCACTGTCAGGGCAACAGGGGGCACTAAAGATATATATATATTTTTTTCTTTTGCTCGTTTTTTGCTTTCAAGGACAGAACAGAGAACCCTGGGTTAAATTCCCAGAGGAACCACACGTCTCTAACAGCGCCTCCTGTGGCAGCCTGGGGCGGATGCAAAAACTGACTGCAAATTTCCCCATTGTGGGAGGAATAGGGGACTCATATATTATTATTATTATTATTGGTCATAATAATATTAATAAATATTTATTTTGTTTATTGACATTTTCATTGTTTTTTCCATTTGTATTTATAACAATGTATTTGTATTTGCAGGTTACGTGGGATGGACGGAAAAAAAGCACATTATCCTTCAAAGAACGAGGCAGCACAAACTGTATCTTATGAGAAAAATCAAAGAGATAAAAAGATTAAAGTGTGTCTTTAAGCCTTGAATTTGCTTTTATCTTCAAATGTCATCTGGGACTGAAAAGCTGTGAAGTTCAGACACATTTCGCAAGGATTTATTTTGGAAAAAAAAATGTGGCTTCACCCTCTTGGAAAAGTCGCCTTTGGCACTTTGATAATATCAGACAATTACAGCAAATGTGTGACATGAAATCCACAAAGAGAGAAAGCAGCTTAACCTCTGAAAAAGAAGGGCTCAGCACCTTTTCTTAAAAGCAATTACACAATCAGGCTCACCCTCATCCTCCCGTTGCGGATGGCTGGTCCGTCCTCCGCCAGTCGCAGCACAAACAGGTCCATCTTGTACTCCCGCCCGCCGCGGATGCTGAAACCGAAGCCCTTCACACTTTTCTCCAGCTCTACCGTGAAGAAGTCAAAGTCCTGTGTGAGCTGAGACCAATGAGAGCCGGGGACAGAGCAGGAGAAACACCACCAGGGGGAGAGAACATCAAGTTAGTGCGAAAGGTATTATGGGAAGTCTGTGTAAATACAGGTTGAAGTAGAAACGCTTTTAATAGCAGAAAATAATTACTCTACAGCACACGTCAAAACGTCACTCTAATTAGCTGTTGAAAATCTACACATAAAAATTAAATTATTCGGAAGCAGGAAATCAACGGTGTTGAATTATTCATCGCTGTTAAAACTGTGAACAGATAATCCACGACACGATCAACATCCGACTGGAAAGATCCGCTGACTTCAGAAACCTCTTCACCTGCACTGGAGGCATCCTGTACTCAGGGATGGTGAACTGTCGGGCGTCTGGTGCCAGTTGTCTGTAGTCCAGCAGGGGTGGGTGTCTGTAGTCCAACGTGGGAGGCTGTCTGTAGTCGGCCACTGGAGGGTGCCGATAGTCCACCGGTGGCTGTCTGTAATCTGTAAACGGCGGCTGTCGGATGTCTGGTTTGACATCTTGCCTGGCCTTCACCTCTGACCTATAACTAACCAACCAATCAGAAAAGACGTTTTTATTGTTATCACTGTAACGCTCACCTAAAAAAAGTTTAAATCTATGCAAGGATGTATATTTAGAACCTGAAATTCTCCCCAAAAGCGGCTAAAATAGCAAAAAAAACCCTAATCGATCATTTAAAATAAAAACAGCCAAAAACTGTACATAAACAAAAAAACTGATGCGCGTTAGCTGCAAGAACTAGAGAGACTAAGAGCTGTTGAAAAAAGTCTTTGTACGTCTTTCTTCAATTCCTGTGAGTATATCAGCATTGTGTTCAACTAAATAGGACAGGTTTTACACTGAGCAGGTACATAGTGAGTAAAGTACAGTAAAAAAAACAAGGACTTCACCACAAATAGACACACAAATAGTCAGACAAAGAAAGGCTGAGAAGCATTAAATCAAGTCTAAACTAGATCTTAAAGTTGTTCAAACGTACAACAATAACCATTTAATGACAGAGCATTACATTTGCATCTGAATAATTAGCTAAATTAAAATAGCTGACTCGTCAAAGCTAGCTAAGCTACAGATGAGTAAAAGCTGCCCAAAAAACAAGAACTAATAGTTAGCCTAAATGTTGGAGTTAGATAAAATACGATGCTAATAAAATTTGTTAGATGTAATTCTTTCAGAACTGAGGTTAACCACTGTATAACTGTTAACTCACTATAACTAACTATTCAAATTCACCAACACCTGCTTTCACACTTGGCAGAAAGTGAGAGGAAATGAACATAAATAAGAGCTTAGTTCAGATTCAAGACAAAAACCAAAAGTGTTCCTAAAACCTGCGCCGTTCTTTTATCTCCCACTGCAGTCGTTGTCTCACAGTCAAAATGTCTGACACTCACAGACTCACGGGGTGAAACACTTCTATCCTCTCCTAACCCTGAGCGCACGGTGTAAAGTACAAACAGTGACACCTGCACTTGGTTAAAATTTCAACAGTAAAAAAAAAAACTCCACTTCTTAGTGGGAAATCAGGAGTCAGGAGATGTTGGACAACAGACGTGTGGAGGTGAAAAGATAGTGGGAAATAAAATGACCATATCAGTTAGAGAAAGACATAAAGGGGTGAGAGGAAAACGAGCAGAAGGGACGAAAGTGTGTCCCGTCCCCAGAGACGTATGGAGGTCCAGACTATAAAGATGCTCCTCTGCCTTAGCAAATCAAGAAGGCTGCAAATATGGCAGTAAAACTCGGCGTGGAGACGAAAACCTGCTTCCTGTCCCCGTCTCACCTGCTCTCGTGGGTGTAGGTTTGAGGTGGAGGTGCAGGCAGCTGCGTCACAGGACTCTGGTGGTTCACAGGGTTGGATGGGCTGACAGGAGGAGGAGGAGGAGGAGGAGGAGGAGGGTTGGCTTCTGTCGCCGTCATCGTCGTCGTGTTGAGCTGCGAGGTTGCAGCGACGCCGGGCTGGGTTTTAGGACTGTGCTGCTGGGCCATGGGGCTCTGCTTCTCAGAGCTGGGGGCTGACGGGGGATTGCTGATTTCTGAGAAGAACAAAAAGTAAAAAAAAAAAAAAAATCTAATCAGGTCAAGCATCTTCAGCCCTTTTACTTAACCACATTAAAAGGTTAGAACCTGCGATATTTAATTGGTATAACCACCGGGGGACGACAGAAGTCAATGATCACAATAAAGAGCTCATGGTATCACATCCTGCAGCCACATCTACAGACGCAACGTCATTGATTACTGTGTCACAGTTTTAAGCACATAAACGATCAGTTTTAGCTCTCGTTAGATTAGACACAGACTCCTCAGAGGGATAACAACTCTGATTAGCTACACAATGCTACATTTGAGCTACAACAGCCATCTGCTAACAGAGTCTGGTTAGCAGTCGCTGTGCCACAGGCACAACAAATCGACCCAGTTCTCCTTATGAGTTTGAAAGTGCTTCTTATGGACAAACACTGTAGGAGGAAAACAGAGAACGCCAAACATTGGCTAGCAACAAACACTGGTCACGTGTAGCCAGAAGTCTAACAAAATAAAAATATTAAACCAAGAATTCAAATAGTCACCTGAAATTAAATTATTCTTTTTAAAATTAACTCTGTATTTGTTATATAATTATATAATATAAAATTAACTCTGTATTTGTTATATAACAACAGGATCAAAAAGAAATTCTAGAAAAAAACCTCTCTGGGGTCGCCAGATATTTGTGATGTCACAATGGGAACCAGGCCAAAAAACGTTGAGAACCACTGGATTAAAGACAACATGTCTCCCTCCAGTGGTAGTGTTCTCTGCCAACTCTGGATCCCTTTGTGTCTGAACACACTGCAGTGTGTAGTTTTGCTGTTGGCAAGCAAACCTAAAAGTCCCCTCGTGGCACAAAGCATCTATAAATGAATGTAATGTTAAGTAATTTTTTATCATATAACTGATAATTATTATTATTAAAAACTATTAATGCCTTCGTGCCAGTGCAAAATTAACCAGGTGCCTATTCATTTTTGTACATGACTGTGGCAGACCTTGAATTAAAGTGATGATAATAATATCCTAAAATGCCCAGAAAAAGAACACAAGGTCCTTTTTGAGAAAAATACTGCAACTTACAAGACAAATAATAAAAAAAAAACCAGTCTGTACCACCAAAAGCATAGCCAAAAGACAGAGAAGCTCCGAAATAGATTCAAATTAAACAAATACAAAAGGCTCTTGACGTTTGTCAAATAACACAGTTTTGCTGTAAATGATAAAAGGTTGAATGGAAATTTTAATTAGATCCATTCTTGTTAAAAAACCATCTAATTTAAGCAGAAACAGGCATGTCCCTTGTGGTTTTCCTCTGTGATTTATTTTTTAACATATTTTCACTGCACCTGCAAGGATACGGTTTGAGTCGTTCTGAGCCTAAAACTCTGCAGAGCCTCTAACTGAAGCACTGCTCAGTGACCTTCACTGCAGATCCTAACAATGACGTAACCAGTGGTCCTGAGTGGAACAACATGAAGCAGAGAAGACAAAAAAAAAAAAAAAAAAATCTCAAGGTGAAAAAAACCCCAAAATGTTCCTGTATCTAAATAAATAGCTCTCTATCGTGATCTGCTTAAAATATATTTGGTATGTTGTATTTTTTACTCACTTATGTGTCATCGAAGATAAATTGTACCATAAGATGAAGATGTGCAGAACAAAATGAACCATGACGCACAAATGACAGAAGGAAGTTCGAGGTGTGAGATCAAAACATTTCAGGCAAACAAAGCATATAAAAAAGATGGCCGACTGCGATCCTATCTTTTTCGCGAACTTTTTTCATTTCACGAATGAAAATCAAGGAATAATGTTTATGCAAAGGTGCACGGCACTATACTCTGTTTACATCGGCGGGTTTGATGTCATACATTGGTTTGTGCTACATTCAATTTCTTTCGTTGTGTTGTTTTTTTGGGAACTTTTTTCACTTCATTATAACTCCCGAGCGCAAGTCAGAATTCCAATATTCCGATACTTTTATGTCCTCGATTATGATGTTACCACTATGCTAGCATATGTGAATCACATAAGTACTTATGTACAGTATGTGGGTTTTTTCAGTTACGTCGAACCACGGGATTAAAATTCCGACGCATGTTGAGGTCACCCCAAAGAACAGTCCCAGTTTATTTATCTAGGCTACAGTAACAGTAACAGGTAGACCGTTACTGAAGACACCACATTACTGTATTTGACTCTGGCTGATCACACAGATATGTTGTTCTCTACCTCAGTGTTTCCCAAACTTTTTTTCTGGGGACCCATATTTTAAAAGTCCCAAACCTTCGCGAACCAAGTCAATAGACATTATTTGTAAACTCCTGGGAAACATGATGCAAGACGACCCCAAAAACAAACTTTTGCGACCAAATTGAGGGTCACGACCCAGTCTTTGGGAAACGATGCTCTACCTGCTCTAAACCATCCTATGTGCAGAAGTCGACTCAGAACACAGCCTCCGTGTCGTACGTGTGTGTCTCACCTTCTTGCGGGATGATCCTCAGGGTCACGGTGAGGCCGGCGTCCTTGATCAATTTGACAATATCTGCGTGCGGCATGTTGACGATGGACTGGTTGTTCACCGCCAGGATGCGATCTCCCACCTTCAGCTTCCCGCAGCGGTCGGCCGGACTGCCCTCGATGATGCGTCCGATTTTGTGGGGCACAGCTGTTTTGGGGGAGAGAGGAGAGAAATCAAGAGGTGAGGAGCTGCAAGTGCAGGAGCAGGTGGAGGCAGGAGATTGGAGGATTACGTCCTGTTAGCGCTCCCTCACCGACTGACTGACTGACTGACTCTCTATCTTTCTTATTTGGAGATTCACTCCAGGCTTATGTAAGACATTCAGATTTTTTTCTCTTTCTCCTTGTGTGGGCGATGCACCCACAGCAGCAGCAGCAGCATCAGCACTATCACAGAGATGTGTGTGAGGGGGGTCTCGTAGGAGGCAGAACGACACTAAAGCAGGTAAAATGAGAGATTCTTTACTTATTAATGACCTGTGACCTTCATTTACTCTTGAGTTAGCGTCGTCTTGACACCACTTAAAGATTAGCTGTCGCTCCTCGTGATTTATTGTCATTAATGCAGAGCACACGATGACATCCGTCCTCAGCTTTTGACCCATCACCACATCTAGGAGTGTGTCGGGGCCGGGCCATGATCATTGCACCTCAGTGGCTGGTGGCGTCAAACCTACGACTTTCCGGACACATGCCGCTTCTTTAGCCACCGCTACCTCATGTGTAATTCCCAGGGTTCATGTCAGGTGCAGCCCAGATGACCAGTGTGTGTCCTGGTCTGTGCAGAAACAAAGCCAAGAATTTGGACGTTTTTTTCTGTCGTCCTCTGAATTGAACGATTGAATAAAATAAAAATAAATTTGTACAATACTGACCCTAGCAAGCACAGAGCATATGGCTGCTCTAGGAATCAAACCCAGAACTCTCTGCTCTCTGCTTCCGAGGCAGGCGGGCTTAACGCAACACCCCCGCCGCGCCTGCGGAGTTTTTAAATCTGTACAGACACTTTCGCTGACGTCACTTTAATAATCCAGCGGCTGTCCAGGACGTAGGGCCGGCGGTCACTGTGACTGACGTGTGTTAAACGACCGGCACGTGTCAATCAAAGGTCCAGCCCTACACTGTGTCAACCCTCTGCTGCCACACAGAGTCCACCAAGAGAAGGTACAGTTTTAGTTGTGAGCCAGACAGTCTCTACACCTGAAGAGGTTCTGCCCTCGACCAGTGTACGATTATTATCATGTACTGTATCATGTACGCTCAATAGTTCCAAGAAAATGTACGATAATTTGACAAGTTCACGATCGACCCTGACCTTGACCTTAGCTCAGCTCAGCTTCAGAGGAAACTGATTTTATTTAAATCCCTGATTTTCAAAATTATTTTAAGCAAAAGCGTTAACATTGGTGGACATGAGTTGGTTGTGTACGGCTACACACAACAGCGGAGCTCTGCACTATATTCAGCATCAACATCAACTGGACTCACTGTTAGCGGCAGCAGCCTCAGGTCGGTTGAGTGAACTGATGATGACGAAGCCGAAGCCTTCGCTCTCCTTCCGGTTGATGATGACGTCGTTGGGCTGAGCGTTGGGAGTCGACGACCCGTCGGCAGCGGGTGATGTGTTGACGACGCAGGCGTTCGGTGTCTGTGCGGGCAGCGCCGTGCTGATGCTGTTGCTGTAGGTGAAGTCGCTGCGAGGGGAGCTGTGCTGGGTGGAGACGGAGCCCGAACTCCGACCGTTCTCTGGACAGGGGTCTCCTACAGGAGACACAAAATGGCGAGGAATTAGTGAAAGACACACAGATTTTTTCTTCCACTGATGCCTTAAAGTGTCACAGCCAGAGTGAAATCTCAAACACAAAAGCAAAAGATCAGCTTCGGTTTGGTAAAAAAACAAAACTGAAGTCGGAACATTTATGGAACAGTTATGTCTGTGTAGCATCTCCTGGCTGTACTCTCCACACTCTCTCCAGTTTTTTCCATTTTCAGCAGACTTTATTCCGTGTCATGTGAACAGAGACGATCTAAAAGCTCGATTTGTTCGTGTACAATTCTACACAAAGTGTCTTTCACAACAGAAATAGAAATTTTCTGTTGAAAACGGCAAAAGGGACAAAAGGGGGGGTGAGAGTGGGGGGAGAGGAGAGACAGTGAAATGTGGGACAGAAGTATGAGCTCAGGGCGGGGAGCAGTGTGTGAGTTTGACGCCTCGCAAAGTGCCGGTGGGAGTCCGACAATTAGGATGGAAGTGAGGAGGCCACAGGAGGAGTCAGAGGAATGAGTCAGAGTCAGAGTCAGAGTCAGAGTCCCCTGTGTCCTCTGGTGAGAGGAGACTGACATGGAGGTGAAAAGAGCAAGTGTGTGTGTGTGTGTGTGTGGGTGTGTGAGAAATAATGAGGACAGAAGATGTGTAATGTTAACTTTAAACAGGTTGCAATAAAGTTTAAGATGATCAGGTGTTTGCATTAGTGACAGCTAACAACACAACGTTACATTTATTTATTGTCACAAAAATCCAAAGAAAATAATGTGGATAAAAAAACTATCCAAAAACAGTGCCAGTTTATCTGGAGAAAAGCATAGAAACTGACATGACAGAAATACAAAGTTGTAATAATATTAGTGAAGACAGAACATCAAAGTCTGGATGTGAGTGTTGACCAAGTACGGTAAAAACTCACCTGCTGCCTGAACCCTCCGTCTGATGACCAGGTTGACTTGACCGTTACGTGCCGCTCCATGCATCAGGTCGATGACGTATCTGTGCGGCTTCCCCACCACTGGGATCCCGTCCACGAACAGGAGTTCGTCTCCAGGTCGCAAACGACCGTCGATGTCAGCAGGACTCTTCTCGATGATCGCTCCTATTAGGATCTATTGAAGAAAGAAAATGTATAAAAAAATAAAAAATAAAAAAAATAAAAGATTAGTCGTAGCTGTTGAAGCTCTGGTTTCGGTGCTAGTGTAACGTGCAGTGGTTCCAGTGAATGTTAAAAAATGTTAAGTTGTCAGTTGGAGTTGAATTAGAAACAGACGCCGGAGCCAAAGCCATCATTCTCTCAGAAGGTCAAATGTCAAGGGTTAGATGTAGAGCTGCAGCTATGTCTACGTTTGTAATCGATTTAACCCATCGATTATATTCTTTTATTCAATAAAAAAAAATGGTGTACAGGGAAGACAAAAAGCTGTCAACCATTAGAATATAATAGTAAAAATACACATGTAAATATCTGTATTAAAATAAGAACAGTAAAACATATATAAAAATGTACATATATAGAAACTTAACAACTACATAGTACAGTATGTACAAAACTGTGTAAAAATACATCATAGTTTTTTTTTTTACTTCATCGTTGTTGTTTTTTGGCTAACTTCATAGTTAGCAGCTCCAGTTAGACGTGCTGATTTAGTTTGTGTGTGTGTGTGTGTGTGAGTGTGTGTGTAGTGGGTCAGGGAGGAATAAAAATGACAGGGTTCCACCACCCAACGCCATACGAGCCTTCTCACGTGTCTCCGGACTCACAGGCTGCCCCGCCTCGTCTCCGCCCAGCACCCTGAAACCAAACCCAGACTTCTGTCTGCGCAGGTGGACCTCGATGTCCTGGTACTCTGCTCCTGGAGACAGTGTCAGTGAGTTCAGACAAAAACCTCCCCCAAAAAAACAAGAACCTCATTAGTAACATTTTAAGACACTGCTTAAATGTTAGATCTTGTTGTTTTTTTTTTTTTCTCTTTTACCTGAGGAGTCTACGGGGAAAACAGTCCTCGGTTGGCTGGGTTCTGAGTAGAACAAAGAAGAAAAGTAGAACCAGTTGTTAAAGCAGTAAAATAAAGGTAAATGAAAAAGATTTTTTAAACTAAAAGCAATCACGCCACCTAGGTGATATTTTTATTATTACAACTAAAGGCACATCAAAACCTGGTGTAAACGCCAACACAGTACCAGCAGGATCTCACATACATATTGCCAGGTAATTCTACTACAGTACTACTACTACTACTACTACATCTACTACTACTACTACTACTACTACTACTACACCTTTATTTCACAGTTGTATAATAATATAATTTAAGACAGAGTAACAACAGTCAGACGTGTCCACACCTTTTTATCCCCTTCACTTGACTTAAAATACAGGGAAAAGTGAAAGAAAAAAATGTCCTGGAAAACTTCATCCAGGATACATGAAAACCAAACTAAAACCTAAAAAAAAAACCAAACCCCAAAATCTCCAGACAGCGGCGTTTCCAGATGCTAAGGTATAAAATCACAAAAGGTCGACATAAAAAGAAAGCAGCTCCAGAAATATGTTTCACACCCAGAAATGCAAACACATCCAGAAAGTCGGCGACATCGTGGACAAAGTGAAGAACAAAGAGCAGCAGAATGAACGTCACAGCAGAAACTCCGCATCATCCATAAAAGTCAAGAAGTGCTTACAGCGTGTAATAAAGCACGGCCTTATTTACTGCATGAGGTGGGACGCGGGCACTAATCTGCAATCAGTGGCTTCACATAACAACATGATCTGCCATGTGGCAAAATGAGCGCAACCGCAGACAAGTGGCTGCAAGTGAAAAATTGATTCCGCTTGCAACGGTTTTAATCACACTGAGTGCAGCTCTGTCTCCGCCGGGACTCAGGACTGATCGTCATGACTGCAGAGAGGAGAGATTAGAGCGGTAAATCCCAGGGATTCTGATGAAGAGTTACCTGGTTTCTGCTGGTGGTGATGACATCAAAGGTCTGAATACTAAACAACAACAGTGGCAGAGACGTTAACCTCTGATTTTTGTGTAGAAGAATTGAGCAGTGTGACGTACAGCTCCTTCTATAGGACGTCCACCGACCCTCCTTAACGTCTTCATTTACAGTGTGAAATATTTATCTCACTCATCTTCCAAAAACAGATCCAGAGTGGAAGAATAGTGTAGTGGTTAACACTCCTGCCTCTAAAGCAGAGAGCAGAGAGTCCTGGGTTTGATTCCCAGTGACGTGGCGCCTGTTAACAGCACAGCTGCTGCAACACAACAATTTCCCAAATATGGCATCAATATAGTACAAATGTATTTTTATTTTATTTGAAACAAAAAGTTCAGGCACAGCAGTACCGTACTCCACCATAGGGGGCGGATGTGAGCCAGAAAATGTACATAATTTATGTATGTGTTTCTTCTAACATGATATTTTTGAATGCAATGCTGCAAAAAAAAAATAAAATAAAGATAATAATAATAATGACTAAACTAGTTTAAACTTTTTAACATTTCTGCAGGATATTTTAAGTTGGATTTTTTTTTTTTCTGCAGCGGAGTGTTTCACACCGCAGGGGTAAAATGAGCAGCTGCCGACTGAAGACTTTATCCTCTGACTGTTGATGGGCGGAGTTGGCAGGATGTCAATGTGTGGACGTAAAGATCCGGTCAGTCAATAAAGAGACTCTTAGTTAATATCAGCCTGGTGTTGGTGTGTGTGTGTGTGTGTGAACTGGCAGGGGGGGGGGGGGGAGGGCTTTATATGGAGCCCCAGATAAGACATGATTAGACCAGGATGAGCAGCAGCAGATGTTAACGGAGGGACGCACGCCGTTAGCATCTGCCCAGCTTGGAGACTGGGTTCTGGTACTTACGCCTACTGTCATAGATAGACCTGGGCGACTCATAGAGCTCGTAAGGATCGGACTTAGCCTCGCAGACCGAGTCTGGGACTAAGGCCCTGTGAAGATGGTGCGGTGGGTAAGTGGAGCTGTGGGGGACAACAGGGGGCGACAGGCTGGTCTGAGCCGGGCTGTTGGGGCCCTGCTGGGACTCCCACTGCTCCAGAACCTGGAAAGCAAAACGGCATGAGGAGTCAGTGTTTCCCCCAGATATCGACCCGTCGGACAATCGATTAGTTTGGAAAAGAGATGTTGGAGAGCTGAAGAGGAGTTAGTCTGAAAGTTTGAAGTGCCCTCAGTCAAGCTTTTCATATCAAACGACTGAAGAAAGACTTGGTAAAAATGGCAGAAAATCTAAAAAGTTGAAAAGTCTGGGACTAAACCCTTTTGTTTTTGTCCAAAAGCCTTGGTCAAGAAAGCTTTACATTACATTACATCACATCGCCACCTAGTGATACAGTATCCCTTTGACTGAACTAAACTTGGAGCTTCTTTTTTTTCTTTTAAATTGGTAAAAAAAAATTGAAAATACTTAATGTTGGAACGTGGCCTGAGAGGCTGAGAAGTGTTTGTGTCATAGCATTGCATTTAGCGTTTGATCGTTTGGTGAAATAAAAAAAAACTAGTGACGGTGCAGTGAAGACAAATCAGATGCAGTGAGGTTAGAGAGTCTGGAATAAAAAAAACAATTTTTTTTATTTCAGTATCAAAGTGTTGCTGTACTAAGTTTTAACCTCATCTTAGTCCTTTGATGTTACCTTAGTCTCGTCTGCTAGTTTTATTCCGTCATGTTTTTTGTCCTTTACAAGTCGACAGACGTCACTTTATTTGGAAAGTTATAATTAGAATACTTTGTATTTGAACCCAATCTGTGTTAAAAATGTTCCCAGCAGCCTTTGAGGCGACATCATCAGCTTCTAGGACAGCCGTCACTCTTGTTGTGTCAGATAATTCACTTTGTCGCTCGGGCCAGAACGACATGACACAGAAACTGTGATGTACAGAACAGAGCCACGGGCTCAAGTTGAAAGTGCAACTGGCTACAAACAGTGTCTGATGTAGAAAGAGTGAATATCAGCTACACTGAAGAGCGCGCGATGATTTATTTTTGTTGTTATGGTTCCATCAGAAGTCTGCCTGTGATTAGGACCAAGTCCAGTCCAGAGTCCAGTCCTGCAGAGACCGAAGACCTCGTTATGATTTGGTTTTGAAAAATGTTTCCTCATTTCTGTTTTTGTTTCTTTCGGCCTATGTGATAAAAGAAATTAAAAACCTTTTAGCTAAAATCTGAGAAGACAGAAACATCAGGCCGCAGACGGGTCTGCTCCGTGTGTTTTGTTTTAAGTGGCTGTTACCTGCAGTGTGAGCTGCACCTGATTGACCACATTCTGATGAGCTTGTTTACCACGGGAGCTACAAGCCGAGACTTTGTGTTCCGCTGCAGGTC